GAAGATCAAATCTCTAACATAGAAGACAAAACATCTGACCTAGAAAAAAGCATCAAGAAGATTGAGAAAACAATCATGAAAAATGAGGATAATATATGAGGAATACTGGATACCATCAAGCGCCACAACATCTGGATAATTGATATTCCAGAAGAGAAAGAAAATAATAAGGGCCTAGATAATTTATTCCATGAAATCCTGGAAGAAAACTTTCCAAACCTAGAAAGGCATTCAAATAATCAGACCCAAGAAATACACAGGACCCTGACTAGAATCAACCCAAGAAGATCCTCTCCAAGGCACATCATAGCCAGACTGGCAAAAACAACAGACAAAGACAAGATACTAAAGTTGTCAAGAGAGAAATGTCAAGTTACTTACAAAGGTCACCCCATCAGGCTAACATCTTATTTCTTGGCGGAAACAATGCAGGCAAGGAAAGAATGGGGAAACATAAAGTGTTGAGTGAAAAACAAGTTCAACCAAGAGTACTATGCCTAGCAAAATTATCTTTCAAATAGGAAAAAAAGATAAAAACATTCTCTGATAGACAAAATTTTAAGGAATTTACCAACTCCAGACCAGCTCTTCAAGAGGTTCTGAAGGGAGTACTATACCAGGAAATCTAAAAAGCCAGACAGTTATATGAGAACAAAAAGCAACCAAGAAAATGGCTCACTTAACAATAAGGTCAGGATGGGAACGAGCAGTTAGTGTAATGGCTATGTCACTGGACTCCCACGTAGTCAACCATGATTCGGACCCAGATCCGGTGGCTTAAAACTCACGCCGGGTGCGTGTGCGTGCGTGCCCAAGATCCTGAGAGGACAATGGAGGAGAAGGGATTGCAGCATGATCATACCCCATGGGGGGGTGATTTCGCGCTTTCTGTCTCTATGTCTCTCTCTGTCTGGTGAGTGCATGTGCCCTATAGTGAAAACCTCTCAAAAAATAAATAAATAAATAATAGGTTCAGGTATGGAAATATCGATAATTACATTGAATGTCAATGGATTAAATTCTCCAATTAAGAGATATAGACTGGCTGAATGGATAAAAAAAATAGAAACCCTCTATCTGTTGCCTACAAGAAACTCACCTTAAGATAAAGACATACATAAACTAAAAGTAAAGGGCTGGAAAAAGATATTCCATGCAAATGGGAATCAAAAAAGGGCTGGAGTAGCGATAGTGATCTCAGACAAAATAGATTTCAGACAAAGACTGTAAGAAGAGACAAAGAAGGACATTATATAATAGTAAATGGGCTAATCCAGCAAGAAGACATAACCCTTATAAATACCTATGCACCCAACTCAAGTGCACCTAAATATGTGAAGGAAAGACTGCTGCAGCTAAAAGGAGAGATAGGGAGAAATACTATAATTGTTGGAGATCTCAACACCCCATTATCTATTTTAGACAGATCTTCTAGACAGAAAATAAATAGAGAGATACAAGACCTAAATGATACTATAAATTGAATGGGCTTGACAGATATCTACAGAACTTTCCACCCTATATTCACAACGTATACATTTTTTCTCACCCCAGCATGGAACCTTTTCAAAGATTGACCATATATTAGGACACGAATCAAGACTTTACAGATTCAAAGGCATAGAAACTGTCTCCAGCATCTTCTCTGACCATGATGGAATTAAACTCAAGATTAATTTTAAGAAACAATCTCGAAAATACACAAACACATGGAAACTGAACAACCTACTTCTGAAAGACTTCTTCACTACTAAAGAAATTAAGGCTGAAATTAAAAAAAATTATGGAAACAAATGATAATGTGTACACAAGTGTCCAGAATCTATGGGACACAGCAAAAGCAGTCATAAGAGGGAAATTCATAGCAATTAGTGCACATAAGAAAAGGATGGAAAGGTGGCAAATAGATAACCTATCATCATGCCTCAGGGAATTGGAAAACAACAACAAACAAACTCCAAAAATGCCAGGCAAAAAGAAATAATAAAGGTTCAAGCAGAAATAAATGAAATAGAAAATACATGAACCATACAGAAAATAAATGAAAGCAAAAGCTGGTTCTTTGAAAAGATTAACAAGATCCCCCTGGGGGGGGGGATTTCTAGCTTTCTGTCTCTCTGTCTCTGTCTGTCTAGCAAGCACACACACCCTATAGCAAAAACTTCTCAAAAAAAAAATAAAAAAAAAGAAGAGAGAAAGAAACCTGATTAATCAAATATGTGATAAAACAGGCAATATTACAACAGGCATAGCAGAAATACAAAATATCATTAGAGGATACTATGAGTGACTATATGCCAACAAACAAGATAACTTGGAGGAGATGGATGAATTCCTGGATGCATATAATTTACCAAGATTGAATGAGGAGGACAGAGAACCTGAATAGACCCATAACAAGTCAGGAGATTGAATCAGTAATAAATAACCTCCCAACAGAGAAAAGCACAGGTCCAGATGGCTTCACTTCTGAATTCTACAAAACTTTTAAGGAAGAGTTAGCCCCTATTCTACTAAAATTATTTCTAGAGATTCAGAAGGAAGGAAACCTTCCAAATTCATTTTATTAAGTCTCCATCATCCTCAACCCCAAGACAGATAAGGACATGACAAAAAAGGAAAACTACAGGCGAAAATCACTGATGAATATAGATGCAAAAATTCTCAACAAGATACTTGCAAATCATATCCAACAACACATAACAAAGATTATTCATCATGATCATGTAGACTTTATCCCAGGGATGCAAGGGTGGTTCAACATATGCAAGACTATAAATGTAATACACCACATTAACAGAAAGAAAGATAAAAACCATATGATCATTTCAATTGATGCAAGAAAGCATTTGATAAAATACAACATCCTTTTATGATTAAGACCCTCAGTAAGATTGGTATAGAAGGGCCATTTCTTAACACAATAAAAGCCATCTATGAAAAACCTACAG